AACCCATTGTCATTTTCTTCACAATTGGTCACCATACATCAATATTTTATGAAATTTATCACTATGATTCAAGTTTATAATACATTAGAGACATGATCCAATGATCAATTTCAAAAATATGTAAAATATTAATATTTTAATTAAAACAAAATTTTGATAAAAACTTGTAACCGAAAACTTTAAACTCTGATTTCTCTCTCCATATAAGGAATTAAAAATGATTCTTATATGGTTTTAATCATCTTTCAAATAGGAACAAAAGTCCTGAACCAATTTTGGAAAATAATGATCGAAACTAAAGTAATTATGAAATCGCAGAAGGGAAATAATCCCTGAAGCGGCTATAGTCTTCCTCTTTGCTCTTTTTTCGATAGTGGTTTTTCAACGGATAGTTATTGTATATGGGAAATGAAAAGGAGATCTTAACCTTATTAATTAAATAACTCTGGTAACTTTATCATGAGACTTATTGGGTCAAAAGTCTATGCAACTGTCATACCACACTTGATCAAGTAAAATATACAAAGCTTATTCTTAGGTTATCACACTAAATTAATTATATTCTCATTCTTATCTGGTATTAAGATTAAATCTAGTAACTGATTTTATTATTTACAGAAAATTCTAACAACATTCTCTTCAAAAATAACAAACGGTCACTATTTTCAACAACATGAAATTAAACATGACAATACTAGATAAGACTGGACAAATGGAGGTATCGGCATTAGCTAAACCAGCATAGACATTGATTGATACCACAATACCAAAAATATAGCAGCGGTGGAACCACTTGACAAACCGGTAGTCCCAAAAAGTATTGACAATCGGTCAAGACCGAATCCTAACAGTTGGTTCGACTAACCAAGCCATCAAAGTAGGTGTGCTTGGGTATAAAGATTTTTGACTCCGAAGATGTTGGAAATATTTTTAAAATGGTGAAAGTTTAATCGAATAAGTATAATAATTTAATTAATGATTGAGAAATTAAGTAAAAAAAAGTTAAGAATAACTTCGGTTAAGAAAATGTACTTAGTTAGATGTCTAGCTAGAGCAGTTGAATGCACTGTTTAAAAGTGCTTTTGTTATGAAAAAACATTAAGGCAATCAAATGCCTTGCCTTAATTTAAAGAAAAAAAAAAAAGTAGTTTTGAAGAATGAAAAGTGATTTATTTTAGAATGAGTTATAATCATTCAAAAGTAATTTTTCACTCATAAAAAATAAATAATCACATTTTTAATTATTTAAAGGAATGTATTCTTAATGAAATAACACAATTGTTAAATGAAACAATATAAATTAAGGGACACAATCATTGATTTCATTATAAATAAAAATGGAAGAACACATTTAAAATATGATGATACATTTGATAAATTATTATATTTCTCTCTCTCATTCTCAAAATTAAACAACTTTCTTAGACTTGGTTTACTTTAAAAATCGATATTCAAAGAAAGATATTTCTGTCTCAATCAAAAGTGTTTTGTAATTTGAATCTCACTGGTGTAAATTGAATTTAAATAAATTTCACTGTATCTCATAAATTATTTGAACAATCTTTATTATATCCCTATAATTGAAGAGAGAAAATAAATTTAAAAGAAAGTGGCATCGACGGTACGACTTGAAGCCATATTCTAACTTTGTTTGTTTCTTCATTTTGGTGCCAATAATTTACCACAGGTACAAGAGGGATCATCGCATCACCAACTAGAAGTGATCTCCAGAAACAACAGAAGATCCAACGAAACATGAAGAAGCCAGAAGCTGTAAATGGTTGCTGCTTAAATCTGAAGCCCCTTTACCCATTCAACAAGAACCAGGGGAAGCACTTGCTGTCATTGAACAGCCACATCCCCCTTAACCTCAAGATCAACTCCCAACATATCTACAACCCAATTCTGCAAGACCTATTTCCTGAAGAATCCCTGAGAAGAGACTCAAATATAGGTATGCAAATCCTTAATCAACATAATTTATTACATTATCAAGTGAATTACCAACTATTTTTATGCAGGGGAAAAGAAAATATATAGGATTAATGCCATCTGTGCTCAAGCCAATCCAGATATTTTATTTTGTCTATCCAGACACCAGTCCTTTTTTATGACACAGTGGTGATGCAAAGCAAAGTTCCACAGCCTTAATATTAATTAGAATAAGATTCGCGTTTCAATGCATGATTATTTTTTAATTTTTCAAATCATATTTTAAATATAAGAGAATTAAAATTTTTATATCAAATTTTAATAGATGACAAGATATAAATAAATATAAGTGTGATTATTTTTAATATAAAATATAATTTAATTATATATAAATATAATTTTTATTTAATTAAAGTATTAAATAATATTTTTCTTAATATAATACATATATAAAAATAAAAGTTAATTAAATAATTAAATATATTATTTTATAGTCATTGCAAATCATTCCAAACCTAATTCTGACTTAATCCAAATTATTTAAAAAGTCAAAACTTCACTTAATTCTTATTTAAAATAAAATGCATCGTTTGAATTGTATCGAATCAAAATTTATTAAACATAAGCTATTTGTCATTCCTCTATTCATTGACTTATTATTTACAAAATTTATCTAATAAATAAAATTTTAAAAAATAAAAAAATGATAAAATAAAATAAATGGAGTGACATGTGAATTTATTAAATAAGAGTGGATGACATGTGAATTTATTAAATTAGAGTATTAAATAATTTTTTTGATAAAATACATGTTAAAATAAAATAAAATAAATAATAAAAAATATAATTTTTATATATATCAAAGTTAAGGTATAACATAAAAAACGTCATTTTGATCGGAGTTTGATTTTAACAAAAATCAATTTAATTATCTTGAATTAAAAAAAATACATCAATTTGATCGGGTTGAATAAAAATTTACTGGACATTGGTTACTTTATTACTTTGTCATTTTTACATTAATTAACTTTTTTATTGTAAATTTATCTAATAAAAAAATTTTAAAATTTTAAAAAAATAAAATAAAGAAGGTGCTATGTGATCACTCGAAACAAAGAAAAAACCCCTTAAATCCATGTACAAGCCAACCTTATTTAAAAACAAAAAAATAAACGCAATTTGATATTAATTTTTTGAAAAAAAATTATACTTATATTGAATCGATATAAATCAAACGAATCGGAATATAAAAAATAAAGGAAGAATAGCGTGTCACATGAACAACCTACCTCTTTTTTCACTGTTCACGTGACTTTTTTTTTTTTTTTCGCTTTTTTACAAAATTAATATATTGGGTGACACAGTGGAGAGGAACAGCAGGCTTATACAAGCTCAATCTTACTTGCTGGACACGTCTAGTGTGTGGATTGATTACGTTATTTACTTGGTGGTTCTTATAAACTATCAATTCTATAAAAATATATATATATATATCTCTCACATAGGATGAGAAAAAATTGTATTATATATTGACGTTAAAGTTTTTAAATTTTACTAATATAAAATAGAGAGTCTATGACGCATATCTCATTAAAATATATTATGAAAATTAATAAATTAATATATTAATTATTAAATAATCATGTGACATGTTGACAACAATCTAATTTTCCTTACAAATTTTAAAAGTTTTATTGTTGACGTATAAAATAATAATTTTTAAATAAAAACAAAAATTATTGATATCCTCGTCTCATCAAAGTTTTTTAAACTTATCATTATTTGATTTGACTCTTTTTGATAATAAGAAATTGACTTCTTGATAAAAAATATTTAATGTAAAAGACATTTAAAAAATATATTTTATATTGTTTGGATGATATTAAAAAAAATATTTTATGTTGTTTGAATTATTTTATGAAAAATATTTTTCACAATAGTTAATCTTCGTAATTTTCATCATAAAGCTTTAATTTTTTGTTGACCCGACATCGATTTCTGTTGATTCGAACATGAAAAGACACAGAAATTGATTTCTAGAAATAATTTTCATGGCAATCAAATGTAGCCTTCGATTCATCCTATATTTTACTAAATACTATTCTCTCCTTATGCAATTTTTATCTCCATTTGATTTTCATGAAGATTAAAGAAAAATAAAATTTACTTTTAGTGTATTTTTATTAAAATTTTATAAGTAATGATTTATAATTTTAATATCATAAAATCAAAAATCAAAAATTAAAAAAATAATTTTGAAATATAGAAAAAATATAAGAGTATATACAGTGTATTCAAGAAGGACAATAAGAGAGAATTTGGAATACCTATTACTTCCTATATTTCAAAATTAATGTCTATCTTATTGTTTTAAAATAAAAATAATATACACTTTTCTAAAAAGTGGTGTCGTTTTCTTAATATTACATTTACCAACTTATCAAAAGAAGAAAAATGATATAATTTTAAGATGCCAATACAAAAAGGTTGAATTGGACCGGGAAGGAATATATATATATTTTTTGGCAATTGTTGAACAAGAAGATAACAATTATTGGCAATTGTTGAATCAAACAAAGTAAAATTTTTTTTATCTCTTTGATTCCCTTATTCATTTTTAATTAAATAAATATTCTTGTAAAAAATTTAATTTTTTATAAAAAATAATTTAAATTTTAAATTTTAAATGACGACATGAATTTATTATAATACTCTTTTTGTCTCATTTTTTTGTTTATTTTTTTAAATATCTTAAAATTATGTCAAATTTCTTATGAATATCTAAAATTTTATTTTTTATATTTTAAAATTATTTTTAAGAATTTTTTATTTTTGACATTAAAAATCGTAAAATTTTAATTTTATAAACAAATTTAAAATTTAATATTAAACATATTAAAGTTAAATTATTTAAAAATTAATATATAATAAATATTTTGGTACGGCAAGAATATTATTATTAATCTAGTCGAGAGTACGATAATTTTTCTACATAAACAGCATATTTTGTAATCCATTGCTGGGAGTCAGTTGCTATTTGAAGAGATTTTTCCATTTGACAAGCAAGAATAAAATTGTTTTTAAATTTCTCCTCAGGGAATTTATCATTTCTGACCTAGCACCGTTGAGGCAAAAGGCAAAGATCCAAGTCCAAAAGCAGCAGAACAGAGAAGATGGCAGGATTGTTCGACAATCAAGCAGATCTTTACTTGGATGCAAGGCCAACATACCCCAGCGAGTGGTATTCGATGCTAGCCGCTCGCACTCTCCACCACAATCTGGCTTGGGATGCCGGCACAGGCAATGGCCAAGCTGCTATTGGTGTCAGTATTTGATATTTCTCTCTTTGTTTACATGTTCCAATCCAATTTCCACTGTACTTTTGCCCTACTCATCTATAAGATTATGACCTGGATCTTCAGTGACTGATGTGATTGGCTGATTGGCTGAGTTTTAAAAAATATGCTTTGACATCAATATATCTTTTGCTACAATCCAATCGTATTACTGCAAAAAGTAGCTGTTATCTGTGGTTAGGGTGAAATCACTGTACTTTTTTTTTTTTTTTACAGAGTAGATTGTAATTCGAGAAGATTATAAATATTAAGATTCCACTTTTAATTTGTTAAAATGATTTCACAAGAGAATTAAGTTTCGTGATTTTTTTTTTAACTTTTAGTTAGTAGGCCAATTGGCCAAATTGGGTATTAGATGAAGTCAAAGTTTTAAACTCTGTACTTCTGGCTGGGTTAAATGTCTCTAGAAAAATGTTTGAGGCCATCCACAAAATTTACTGTATAAATGAATACGAATGGGTTCTGCTTTTACTTTGATGAAGATGGTTAGTTATCGATCAGATCAGACTAATAATATGTCGAGCCTAATTTTTCAGGTTGCTGAGCACTATGAGCAGGTAATTGGGAGTGATGTTAGTGAAGCCCAGTTACAACACGCGATGCCGCATCCGAAGGTTAAATATCTTTACACTCCTTTGTCAATCAGCAAAGATGAATTACTAGCTTCAATTGGAGGTGAAAATTCAGTTGATTTGGTGACTGTGGCTCAAGCTGTGCACTGGTTCGATCTACCAAAGTTTTACTCTGTGGTTACCAGACTTTTGCGAAAGCCAGGCGGTGTCCTTGCTGTCTGGTGCTACAATGACATCGTTGTTAGCCCTACATTTGATCCTGTGATGAAGCGCTTTCACGACACCACTCTTCCGTATTGGAGCCCCAACATCCGATATGCTTTTGATGGCTATAAGACACTGCCTTTTCCATTTGAGAATATTGGTTTAGGTTCTGAGGGCCAACCACTGGCATTGGACATACCCAAGAAACTGTCCTTTGAGGGATTTCTGCGGATGGTGAGAACTTGGTCTGCTGTGGTTACAGCAAAAAACCAAGGCGTGGATTTGTTGTCTCAAATGGTTGTAAGAGATCTTGAGAGTGCCTGGGGTGGGTCTGATTTGGTCAGATCAATAGCTTACAAGGCTTTCATGCTTGCAGGAAAAGTTAAACTCTGATTTTCTTGGGAGTTGGGATTGTAGCTTGAACATTTCTGCTTAGCAATCAACAGTTTCGATTTTTTTTTTTTAATGCCTTTGGATGAAAAATTTTAAATTTTTAAATTTTGATATGTTAACATTTTGAAATGCATCAATTTGAAATTACAGAATTTGTAATTATGCTTTTGGATAATTATTTTTAAAAAAAAATTTAAATATTAAAATTTGATAAAATAAAAAATAATTATAAAAAATAAATAATGATATTAGAAATAGAACAAACAAAACGCTAAAAAAAAATGTACTATGGTGTCATTAGACTTGTAAACTATGTATATATTACTAACAATATGAAAATTTTAAAATAAATAAATTTTATAATGAGCTTTTAGTTAAAATTGAAAGAAAAAAAAGAAAAGTTGAGTAAAAAGTGGCAAATATTCATCATAACGATTTTTTAAGGGGATTGTTGGACAAAAATTTTAAATTTTTTAAAAATAAGAGAAGTTGTCAATATTTTTTTACTAAGTGTGATTAGTCACTTATTAAAATTTATCTTTTTCTATAAAATTAATTAAAATTTATTAAAAAAATAATTTTAAGATTTGTGAAATAATTTGAGTTCAAAAATCACTGAGAAAAAATTAGTACTTTCACAATGCTTGTCCGAAAACATTACCAATTCACTATGCATTATGCTTTAATCATGTTTAAATGGTATTAATTTTGATATATAAAAATAATTTCCTCCCTTTTTTTTATTTGAGACATAAATATTTTTCTTTTTGAAAAGTAAATAAGAATCTTGTGTATCGAAAACTTCCTAAAAACATTTTAATATATTGGTAATATTTAGAGAAATTTTCTCACTTAAAAATCTCTTAAAAATCATTACTTAGATTTTTTAAGAATTTAATCCTCAGTGGTTCATATTTATCCTTAAAATGCACATAATAAATACTTACGATTTATCTCAAATACATATTTTCTTGACATCTCTTATTATATTTTTTTATTAATAAAAAAAATAAAAAGTTTTTATCAAAAATTATTCTAAATAATCCAGTACATTGGCAGCATTTAAGATAAATTTTTTCACCTAAAAATTTCTAAAAAATCACTATTTGGGTTTTTTTATGATCTTATCCTTGGAGTTATTTTCAGAATTGGTGTATAACACTATTTCATTATAAAAAGTTCATTTTTAGTAATGAGAATCTTTCGTATTGAAAATCATTTTAAATACTCCAATACTTTGATAATATTTTTAAAAAAAATTTTTAATCTAAAGATTTTTTAAGAATTACTACTCGGACTTCTCATCAATTCCATCATCAGAAATTCATGTTATTTTCAAGATTATGAAATTCAGATGATAAAGCGCAATATGAATACAAATGTTTTTTTATTATTTTTTTAATTTATTATTTTTTTATTACATTTAAAAAAAATCATCTTACTTATATTCTTTATGTTATATCTTTTCATTACTTATTTTATTTTTCATTTTAATTGCTAATTGTTTCATTATTATTATTAAAATTTTTTTAAGGGAACAAAGCAAAGAAATCTTTTTATTGAAAATATTTTTAGATATCGAAATATTTTGATGGTATTTTAGAAGAATTTTCTCATCTAAGAAGTTTTTAGGATTTGCTACTCGGACTTCCTTAAAATCCTATACTTGAAGATTTCCATATTTTGGTTTTTCTTTTTTATTTTTTTTATTTTAATAATAATAATAATAATAATAATAATATTATTATTATTATTATTATTATTATTATTAAACAAAAATAATTAATCATCCTAAGTAAATTCATATATCATTACATTAATTTTATTACTAAAAAGAGTTATTTTTCCTTTTCATCATTTCCCCTTTTTGTTTTATACCGTCATTTAGTTATGAATATAAATTTTTTAGGAAAATAAATGAATGATAAATCTTTTGCATTAAATACTTTCTTGAATATTCTATTATTTTGATAGTATTTTAAAAAATATCCTTATCTAGAAATTTTAAAGAACCATTACTCGAAAATTTTTAAAATTTCATCCTTAGAGATATTCATTCTTATTATTATTTTATCATTATTTATTATTACAATTTCACTTAAAAGTTATACAACAATACAATTTTCAGTAAATTTATTTATTATAAAACATATTTATATAAATATTTTATGTTTTTGTTTATTTAAGGAAACTATTAGAATTAAGGAAAAATAAAAATCATTGTATTGAAAAGAGTTTCTAAATATTTCAACACTTTGGTTATTTTTAGAAGACTTTTCGTACCTAAAGACTTTTCAGAATCACTAGTCGAAATTCTTGGAATCCTATCATTGAAAATTTGCATTTACTTTCAAAATTTTTCGGGTGAATAGTTTCAAAACAATATGAATAGTTAAAATTTGCCATGAATACTATAAGCTAAAGCAAGCACATGAAAGTAAAGAGCAAGTTACCATGATTCATGTGATAAAATGACAAATGAAATGAATGATCAAACATTAATTAATGCAAGGCATGTTGCAATATTATGAGATTAATGATGAAGGGAGCATAAAAAAGTAATGGCACATAAGCTAAAGGCATAATAATAAAGGACATGAAATGAAAATCAAAGAACAAAAGTTACACCTTCTAAAATTACAAATGGAGGAAAATAAAATAAATAAAACAAACCCATGGTGTTCTAGGCAAAATCAATACCATTCCCCTCCTTTTTTTTTTGTTTCCTTCTACTTTTAACTGTTTTCTCTTTTCCATTCAAAATTATAAGCCATGAAAAATAAAACAATTGATTCCTAAGCTATATGCCTTGAACCTATACTTTGGGAAACTTTCTCTGTGGTTTAAAAAATCCTTGGGTCCCTTATGCCGTGATGAAGTCTTTCATGAAACTAAATTCTCCAATCCAATAAGACTCGAAAATAATGTATGGAAAAATAACGTAGCTTTAGCTTCCGTAGAAATCAAGGAGGACAAAAATGTTATATTTTCTTTAACTGAATATTAATTTGTATAATCTTAATGCCTAAGGTCTTAGAATAAGATGATTTTCATAATTTCCTAATTAAATAGAAATCATACCTTGGTCTATTATAACTTCTTTTGATAAAATGTTTTATAATTTTTTTGTTTCTCTCTTTCGACCTTTTAATCTTTTACATACCTTATTGATGGATAGAATGTATCAATTTATAGGCAGAGACAGTAAAGCATTTCTTTCATTCTTTAATGCCATTTAAATCATACATTCCATCATTGTATAAATTTTAAACAAAAATTTACTTTTGTACATTAATTGCATTCGTTCATTATTTCATAAATGAAATAAAACCTTTTCATTTATTTATTGATCAAAAGGATTTTTTTTAAACATAATAATTATTCAACCATTAATATCTTTTAAATAAAATTAAAGGTATTTACTTAAGGATGGATAACGGAACATTAGCCATAATATCTAAACAGTTGGCTTATGTGGAGTTATTAACTTTATGGTTTAATAATAAAATATAATGCGCATAACATAAACTAAATCCTTTCATAAATCATAAATAATCATTAAGTAAAAACTAATAAGGATCATAATGGTTGTATGTCATTAATTTGACATGGTCCATTCTATGTATCACATTATTAGTTCTATACTCAACATAACCTTCAATGAGAGATGTCCTAATGTTCCAATATTGTCTTCGTTAGAGACAAATCTTGTTTATATTTCATAATTCAATCATGAATATATACTAACATAATGGAACATGATGCATTAATATATTAGAAATAGTACTTAAAATAGGTCAGAGTGTTAAATTCATAAAAAAACATAAAAACTTTACCATAATGTCAATAATGGTTTTCAATAATGCCCATTCTTTCAACATGTTCATTAAATGTCTTTGGTGAAAAACCTTTTGTTAACAAATTCATAACCATAAGATTGGTGCTAATGTGTTCAATTGATATTTTTTATTTCTAGACTTCTTTTTTAACAGCAAAATATTTTAATTCTTTGTGTTTAACACCTTTTGAATACTTGTCATTTTTAGAAAAAAAGACTGCTACGACATTATCATAATAAATTTTCAATAGCTTAGCAATACTGTCAACAATTCCAAGTCTTGAAATAAAGTTTTGTAATTATAAAACTATGAACATTGGCCTCAAAGCATGCCATAAACTTAGCTTTCATAGTGGATATAGCAATAAAAAATTATTTTGTACTTTTTCATGGGATCGTTCCACCGGCTAAAAGAAACAAATAGCCAAATGTAGATTTTTGGGTATCCACACACTCAACAAAATCATATTCTGAATATTCTATCACCTCAAGATGATTAGATCTCCAATAAGTGAGCATGTGATCTTTCGTTCCTTATAAGTATCTTAATACTTTCTTTGTAGCCTTTAATGATCTAATCTTGGATTACTTTAATGCCTACCCAACATTCCGACACTAAAACTAATGTCTAGTTTGGTACAAGTTTGGGCATACATCAAGCTTCCAACAATAGATGCATAAGGAATTTGTTGCATTTGTTTATGTTCCAATTCATTCTTTGAGCATAGCATAAGGCTCAATTTATCTCCTTTTTGAATTGGAAGAACACTTGTAGAGCATTTTTCCATTTTAAATCTTTCTATGATTCTATTAATATATATTTTTTGAGACAATCCTAACAATCTTTGTGATCTATCATGGAATGTTTCAATTCCAATTACATAGGATGCCTCACCCATATCTTTCATTTCAAAATTCTTAAAGAGAAATTTCTTGGTCTCATGTAATAATTCAAGATCATTAGTAGTAAGTAAAATATCAACAATATATAGATAAAAAATATAAACTTACTATCATCGACCTTTAGATATATACACCGATCAACAATATTTTTCTTAAATCCAAAGAAAGTAATAGTATCATTGAACTTAAGATACCGTTGTTGGGAAGCTTGTTTAAGTCCATATATTGACTTCTTAAGTTTACACACCGTGTGCTTGTTTTTTTTAACTAAAAAACCCTTGGGTTGGTCTATGTAAACTTTTTATT